GACTTATGTTACTCTGTTTAAATATCCTCAACAATTCCAACCTCACCACCCAATTTTACCCACTTAGGGGCTGAATTAAAAAAACTAAAATACATATTTATTTCATTGAATTGAAGAGCATTAATACCAAGTTTCAAGTAATTTTGATCGTAAACATTTTTTCCTCATATAAACAGCATAACCCACTTTTACCCTTTTAATGGATTGAATGAATTTCATTATTCATTTCAAAAGTAAATACCACTTTCCGTGCATCATTACGGAATTTCATACAAAATTTCATCCCCCGTTTTATCCCCTTATGGAATGAATTTTGAAAAATGCTAAGCCATGTATTTATTTAATTGTATTGAAGAGCATTAATACCAAGTTTCAAGTAATTCTGATCATAAATAATTGTTTGCCCATATAAACTTTTTCACCCCCTTATAGGTACCATTTTAAAGGATGAATTTCGAAAAAAAAACTTACACATATATTTCTTATTTTCACCTTAAAGCCACTTTCCGTGCATTTCACGTTAAAAATAACAGAGTTTCATACTATATTTTATCCCCTATGTTCCCCTTAGGGATGAATTTCGAAAAATCCTGTCTTAGCGGATGCTTCCATTGTATAAGGAATATGTCGTCCAAATTTCACGTTTGCACGATCAGTGGTTTAGGCTGTGCGTTGATCGATCAGACAGTCAGGACAAAGCATTTTATGTATGTATAGATAATATATATTACATTAAATAATAAAAATCTTACTTTGAATTTAAAATAAGTCTAATCGTTTCGAAAAAAATATGAAATAATTGCCGCCTCTATTTATTTTAGTGTCTATGTTCATAGTTACCAATGCCAGAAGCTCGAAAAAATATACTTTGTAGTTAAAATTTGAACGCAAACATGTTGTATAGAATATCTTATAAGCAATTCATATTACTATTAACAATAGCTCGAACAACTGCAATTAATATAGAATTATTGCAGAATAATGTCAGCAACACAGCACCGCTTATGAAATGCTTCAGTTTAGTGTCTGAAAATCATCATAATAGCTTTAAAAGTGCTATAACAATTTATGAAAATAATAACGTTTCTGAAGATGCAGCCGATGGTTTACTAAATGCTCTACTAGAAAATGAAAAACCGTTTATCAAAATTTCTGATAAACATACCTTACAAAGACTTATTAAGGCTTATGATGGCACAATGCTTATTGTCAGCTATTATCAAACTTGCGACGAACTATTCTTACATATTGACTTGGAAATTTTCGATATTCATTTCCGCTATCTAATTATAATCGATGCTTTGCCAGATGAAGTATGTTTTAGAACTTTAAATAAAGTTTTGCATTCAATTCGACATTACGATATTACTTTTCTTACTAAGGATCGAAGTGAACATATGTTTAAGTTAGAAAAATTTATTCTTGATATTGATGAAGAAACTTGTAATTTTGCTGAAATAATTCCCATTGAAACAATAAACGTGTGTCATTATGGTTCGCTACAAGGGAAAAAGATAACAGATGTTTTTCGTATTAAAATACCAACGAACTTTAAAAAATGTAACTTTAATGTAGGAATGGCAACTTTATTTCCGTATTCGACGTTAGAAAATAAAGAGTTATATAAAGATCTCGATGATGTAGATAACCAATGCTACGGTGCAGATGTGGAGCTTATGAAAATATTCACAGACATTTTTAATCTTACTTTGAAATTATATTACATTTACAGGGAAGAAGAAAGTCCATATTTACATAAGGAATTTTTGGAATATCTTCATAATAGAACACTAGATGCTTGTGCTGGAGGTCTTTATAGAATTTATGGAAATAGTGTTGCATACTCTGGTATATATTCCGGACAGGCAGTAATTTGGGTGTATACTGTTGAGAGAGAAGTAAAATCATGGCAAGCATTAGTTAAAAAAACAACCGGGCTGTATATATTTTTCATATTTTATATCTGTTATGCAATACTTTGGAAACTGATGTGCAAATTTGACAATCAGATTTGTTTAATAAGAGACACTCTATTCTACGGTTGGGGAGCCTTAGTTGGGGCATCAGGCCTACAAGATGCTCCAAGTCTGAAATTAAAGATTTTAAATGTTTTTTATCTAATCTTGTGCATACATTTATCATCTTATATCAGCACACAGATCTACTACTATCTAACTATTGAAGGGCCACCGGAATCTTATAATACGTTTGAAGAATTATCAGGTTCAAGTAAGACACCTTACTTAAGATTTACAGCGAAATATTTCATTAGGGATCACAAGTACGAAGTATTTGTAAATACATCTGGTGATTGTGAGGGTTTCGTAGATTGCCAAAACATGATATTAAAACATAAAGGATCAACAATTATTATCGATGGGCATTTGCCTTCATTGCAATCATCCACTGCAGTTAATGACGAGGCAAGAGTGTTAAGAGTCTCAGAGAACATTGTGTTTATTTATCACGAAATGCTAATGAGAAAAGATCACATTCTTGTCCCCCAATTTAACGTAATAGCAACAACACTGTTTGAAGCAGGCATATTTCAGAAATTGTATGTAGAAGCAATTGGAATTACAGTAGTGGATAAAGCCAGGATTGTGAATAAGAATATATTGTCCAACAGCTACAGTTGCATTGTTGGATGCCAAATTACGTTGCGCGAGTTGGCTGGTGCCTTTTATATATGGATTATTGGATGTATTCTTTCCTGCTGTATTTTTGTAGCAGAAATAGTTTTGAATACTAAGAAACCTATTCTACAAGAATAATAAGTAATATTCAATTTGATGCATTATCTTAAATAAATTAGATTAATGATTGTTCTAACAAATTGTAGTAAAAGAAATGAAAAATCTTAATGGTCTGTAATACTTATTGAAAAGTAAATTGTACACGTGTGATTTTTCTCTATTTATTAAACACATTTGACATAGATATTGTGTAGTTTTATTTTCAAATTTTCCGGAAAATTGCGTTTCTTTGGAAAAGTCAATATTATTTTTCGTATTGTATCATAAACAAAAAAAATTACATCAACAAATGTTGATAAAGTTATAAATAGGTAGGTAGTATGACTTGTAGAAATCTTACAGGCGTTAAATGCTTCCTTCTGCCCGCCATACCGTAAGTTAAATCTATCCTATAATAAAGACGAGTTCAGTTCTTCATTACTACATATTTAATGATTAAACGAACTTACCTGTACGTGAAGTTTTATCATAATTATACAAGCGCCGAGTCCGAAGACATTAGTAACCTAGATATTATTTACACATGTAGTTACGCATAGATGTCACCTCTCCTGCACTAAGTTGAGAGAAAAATATTATTTTGTTTTTACTGTCATTTCCTTTCCCCTTTTGTGGGTACTTCGTTCAGTTACGCCCTCGAACGAGTATCGCCAGTCATTCGCATTCTAGTGCTTAACCACTCAACTGCTATTTCGCGTCTTCGCAGTATTTGTTATAAATAAAATATAAAAGTTATAACGTAATATTCGCGGTCGCAAAAGAAGTGCTTCGGAAATAATACCGGACTTGGAGTAAAAACTGTGTATAGGCGTCGGAGATTTTGTTGCAGGTATTTACATTTTATATTTTTCACAGTAATAAGTGCTTTCGTACCTATTGAGGTATATTTTTTATGTAACCTGAACAGTCAATGGGACTGTTTCAACGCATTACAATATGGTTGGCGTTCCTTCCGTTGGGGATTGTAACCTAACCCATAATATTTATATGACTAATCTGGTATATTTTTTATGAAACCTGAACAATTATTGGGGCTGTTCGAATGCATTGGAATCTGGTTGGCGTTCCTTCCGCTGGGGATTGTAACCTAACCTAGATAAAATAAGATTACTCATGGACTATTGAACTTACATGTTTAAAATTATCATATATTTATATGGTAATTTTTAGATATCTACCCCCGCCCTATGCCCGGACGATTAATTATTAAAAAGGACTGGAATTATGCAACAAACTTGCGAGTCGTTTAGTGCATATCGAAGGATGGTCTTAGTATGGAAAACCATAACTATTTGATCTTAAAATACCAATTACCAATAAATTGTATCCAGTTAGTGCACCTAAAATCAAATTTTGTTGAAATGAAATTGGCTATTACTGATTACGCAATTAAACGCGTTAAGGGTATTAAAAATAAACAAAAGTAAATGTCTATATAAAAAATATAGATGTATTATATTTATAGTGCAATTGCTTGCTTAACTGAGATAATAAATTTTCGAAATATATAGTATGGTGTTATTATTTTTATAATTAAATATTTTTGGGATTTGCATTTGACAAAATTCCGTAGCTAAGCACTAATTTTACTAAAAATTTATAATCCAAAACTGCTTCTTCTAAATCCAAACTTCGCTTCACTTAATCCAATAATTAAAATATCAAGGCCTTTTAATCTACAAGATAAATTTAGACAAAGCGTTACAGAGCACAAATGTATGTCCATACTAGGTTACAATTGTAAATCATTTATAAGCAGTTTATTTACATATTAAACCTTGTTTCTACTACATAACTTTATAATTGACAATGGACTACTTCAAGTAACAAACAATAATATGTAGTAATGAAGAACTGAACTCGTCTGTATTAGAGGATAAATTTAACTTAGGTCATGGCGGGCAGAAGGAAGCATTTAACGCCTGTAACATTTCTACAAGTGATACTACCTACCTATTTATAACTTTATCAACATTTGTTGATGTATTTTTTTTTGTTTATGATACAATATGAAATATAATATTGACTTTTCCAACGAAATGCAATTTTCGGGAAAATTTGAAAATAAAACTACACAATATCTATGTCAAATGTGTTTAATAATTAGAGAAAAATCACACGTGTACAATTTACTGTTCAATAAGTATTACAGACCATTACGCTTTTTTATTTATTTCACTACAATTTGTTAGAACAAACATTAAACTATTTAAGAAAATGCATCGAATTGAATAATACTAATTATTCTTGTAGAGTAGGTTTTTTAGTATTCAAAACTATTTCTGCTACAAAAGTACAGCAGGAAAGAATACATCCAATAATCCATATATAGAAGGCACCAGCCAACTCGCGCAACGTAATTTGGCATCCAACAATGCAACTGTAGCTGTTGGATAATATATTCTTATTCACAATCCTGGCTTTATCCACTACGGTAATTCCAATTGCTTCTACATACAATTTCTCAAATATGCCTGCTTCAAACAGTGTCGCTGCTTTTACATCAAATTTGGGAACAAGAATGTGATCTTTTCTCATTAGCATTTCATGATAAACGAACAAAACGTTCTCTGGGACCCTTAACACTCTTGCCTCGTCATTAACTGCAGTGGATGATTGCAATGAAGGCAAATGCCCATTGATAATAAGTGTTGATCCTTTATATTTTAACATCATATTTTCACAATCTACAAAACCGGCGCAGTCACCAGATCTATTTACAAATACTTCGTGCTTGTGATCCTTAACGAAATATTTCGTTTCCATTCTTAAGTAAGGTGTCTTACTTGAAACTGATAATTCTTCAGCTGTATTATAAGTTTCCGGTGGCCCTTCAATAGTTAGATAGTAGTAGATCTGTGTGCTGATGTAAGATGATAAATGTATGCACAGGATTAGATAAAAAACATTTAAAATCTTTAATTTCAGACTTGGAGCATCTTGTAGGCCTGATGCCCCAACTAAGGCTCCCCAACCGTAGAATAGAGTGTCTCTTATTGAACAAATCTGATTGTCAAATTTGCACATCAGTTTCCAAAGTATTGCGTAGCAGATATAAAATATGAAAAATATATACAGCCCGGTTGTTTTTTTAACTAATGCTTGCCATGATTTTACTTCTCTCTCAACAGTATACACCCAAATTACTGTCTGTCCGGAATATATACCAGAGTATGCAACACTATTTCCATAAATTCTATAAAGACCTCCAGCACAAGCATCTATTGTCCTATTATGAAGATATCCCAAAAATTCCTTACGTAAATATGGATTTTCTTCTTCCCTGAAAATGTAATATAATTTCAAAGTAAGATTAAATATGTCTGCGAATATTTTCATAAACTCCACATCGGCACCGTAGCATTGGTTATCTACATCATCGAGATCTTTGTATAACTCTTTATTTTCTAACATAGAATATGGAAATAAAGTTGCCATTCCTACACTAAAGTTACATTTTTTAAAGTTCGTTGGTATTTTAATACGAAAAACATCTGTTATGTTTTTTCCTTGTAGCGAACCATTATGACACACGTTTATTGTTTCAATTGGAATTATTTCAGCAAAATTACAAGTTTCTTCATCAATATCAAGAATAAATTTTTGTATCTTAAACATATCTTCACTTCGATCCTTAGTAAGAAAAGTAATATCGTAATGTCGAATTGAATCCAAAACTTTATTTAAATTTCTAATACATACTTCATCTGGCAAAGCAACGATTATAATTAGATAGCGGGTATGAATATCGAAAATTTCCAAGTCAATATGTAAGAATAGTTCGTCGCAAGTTTGATAATAGGTGACAATAAGCATTGTGCCATCATAAGCCTCAATAAGTCTTTGTAAGGCATGTTTATCAGAAATTTTTATATATGGTTTTCCATTTTCTAGTAGAGCATTTAGTAAACCATCGGCTGCATCTTCAGAAACGTTATTATTTTCATAAATTGTTATAGCGCTTTTAAAGCTATTATGATGATTTTCAGACACTAAACTGAAACATTTCATAAGCGGTGCTGTGTTGCTGACATTATTCTGCAATAATTCTATATTAATTGCAGTTGTTCGAGCTATTGTTAATAGTAATATGAATTGCTTATAAGATATTCTCCACAACATGTTTGCGTTCAAATTTTAACTACAAAATATACTTTTTCGAGCTTCTGACATTGGTAACTATAAACATAGACACTAAAATAATTAGAGGCGGCAATTATTTTATGTTTTTTTTTTCAAAACGATTAGACTTATTTTAAAAAAAAAATAAGATTTTTATTTTTTAATGTGATATATCTTATTACTATTTAAATGCGAAAGTTTGGATGGATGAATGTTTGTTAATCAATCACGTTAGAACGGCAGAACGGATCTGGATGATATTTGTCACAGAGAAGATTATAGTCTGGAATAGTACATAGGCACTTTTTATCCTGGAAAAATTTACGGTTCCTGTGGGATAGCTTTGTTTTCATTTTTCACTAGCGACGAACATGAGCAAAGCGAGGGTGAGCCGATACATATATAAGAGACCTGTTCTACCTGACATTAAACATTGTAAGACATAGTTACATTAAACGTGGCATGACACGACATGTCATAGTATAGCATGGCTAATAGCATATATTAGGAAGGAGCATTTATCTATCTAACAGAAATTGTAAGTTACATTGTTGCACTAGATATATTACATTACTAGCATTGCCCGCGGTTCCGCCCGCGTTCAGATGACCAAAAACCAAATTCTTAGGTTTTACATATTAGTGTACTCTTACATTGCAATTTTTGTATTTTTTCTCAAAAGTGAGATATTTTCCCGCGGTAAAAAGTATCCTAAAAGTTGACTCGGATAACCAGTTATCACCATACCAAATTTCATCAAAATCCCTCCAGTGGTTTTTCTGTGATGCGGTAGCAGACAGGCAGACATAAATTCTAAAAACTATAAATTCAGCCGCTGTACCGATAATAATGTTTATTTCAATAAGATTTTCCTAAAAATATCTAATGTACAGATTCGGTTTAGTTACAATTTTATTATATGTATAGATTTATCTACTAAATTCATCCCCTTTTCAATCCTATATAAGTAGCAAATTCAAACGATTAATGTGGACATTGAAAAAGCTACGTCTCGTTTGTCTGTAAAATTGTTATTTTAGTACCTATATTTGTTTTACACTTCTATCAATTTGTAAGCCTTAAATTCTGATGTTCAGAGGCACTGCAATTATATTAATGACACGTGCAGTTCTTACGAGGAAAGCCTTTTAAGGAAACAGATTAGCGTTTATACGGCATGCTATTATTAAACGCCCTGCATTTGTAATACCTACTATATTTATGTACTAATAGTTTTTCAAATGTCTCAGTGGTCTAGTGGCTAGGATGTAAAGCTGATGATCCAAAGATATTGGGTTCAAGTCCCAGTCAAGTTTGGTCAAAGCGTTTTTTTGTTAAGAAATTCTCAGTAACAATCCGGTGTTAAGAAATTGGCGGTATTTTCCCCTCGTGCTAAGGAGAGCTCGTAAAGCCATCAGTCCTGCGCCTGATCTCTTACTGGTCTTGTCGAATTGTCGTCTTACCAGAATTTGAGAGTGATAAGGAATATAGAGTGTACTTGTGTTTGAGCGCATACTTGTAACTACGATAGCTCCAGTACAGTTAGCTAGTCTCATTGAGTTTGGCCGTTGTGATCGAAATTGGTCATGATATTATACTCATTTATTTATATCTGTTAGATTTTTGTAAGTAGATATATTTTATTGTTTTAGTTACAACAATATTAAATATTGAAGGTAAGTGTTATTACTGATTTATTGTTGAATTAATAAGACTGATACATGGCAATGTGTATTTTTTTATATTGATCTTATATTTATATATAAATAATAAATATAAATATAAAAATATGTAATTATTTGTTTATTTCCGTACGTAAAAATCTCTGGAGCAATTGGAATTTTATTTTATTCAACGTATTATACGAGTATTTTGTAAAAATTCAGTAAAACCAAAGAAATAATAGACAAAACAATTTATTTATGTCAATCATAGCACATATTATATTTTGAAAGGCTTATCGTTCAGCTTATATGTAACTTGTTATGTCTATATATAACTTGTACTGCGTACAAGTTATATATAAACACCACATAATGATGTTATTATATAATAAAAATAAAATATAATACTATAAAAATTATTAAATTTAAATAAATTAAAAATACATTGTATGACTAGATGACACGTTATAAATTATAAGGATACTCGTATTTTGTGATATCGAACAAACAACAAATAATGGAAAAAACAAATTGTAATAAAAAATATAAATAATCTTAATACTTTCTTAAATTTACGCGAATATTTGACATTTTAAATAAAACTATCTTTTCAGATTTTGTTTTACGGATTTATTTGGATTTTTGGTTCCCAACCAAATATTGGAAACCAAAAATCCAAATAAATCCGCGAAAAAATCTGAAAAGATACTTTTATTTAAAATAACTAATCTTCTTTATCTGCCCAAATGCTGTCACCATTGACTTCTGTAGTTCCTCTTACATATTTCTGGATAACTGGTAACTTGTACAAGTACACCGATATGATGGATCCAGTACAAGCCCCTAGCCAATACACTGCAGCATGCTCTATTAAAGTATGGCCTTCACATCCTGCTTTAATCGACGTGGCTAAAACTGGATTGAAGTAACCACCTGAGTAGTCGAAAGCTGTAAAAAAAAATTTCAGTTACATATTATATTAAGCTCGCTATACACACTACGATATATTTAATATTATTTTTATATTGTGTGTTTAACTGCCATAATATGCAATCCAATGCATCTGCAAATATACTCAAACGTGTATAGTAAACTTTAAGTCAAAAAATATATTTTTTTACTTTATGTTTAAAATACTATTTAAGTTGTTATTATATTGAGCATTGGCAACACTGATCAAACTTTGTGTAATGTGACTTCGACAAAAATAATGGATGAAATCATCATGTTTGCAGTATATTAAATATTTTTGTCAGTGCTCCAAAAGATAATGAAAATTTGCTCAAATTTTAAAATGAAAATAGAAACACGTTCTTATTATTTACATCTCTTCATATAATATATCTTTATCATTGATCATTCTGTAAAATATACACTAAAAAAATATTATAAAAACACTGAAGACTGAAGCAATTTTGAGTTAAAAAAAAAGTTGGTATTCAGAAAGGTGAACTCAACAATTAACGATATCGTCTCTTAAATTAAAGTGGATTTTAAATGCGCTTTCAAATTATAAAGATACATTAACAGTAGCAACTGAAAATGAGAAGCAAAATATTTACAACGCCATGCTTAATGAAAGCCGAAATTGAAATGAAATCCGAATTTAAAACCATTTTGGTAATATAGTATTCTACTTGGTCTTCATTTTAAAATGATTTATTTACATGGAATATACTTTAACTGTATTGGAAAGTACTTTATATCTATATATATTTATAAAATATATATATATATATATATATATATATATATATATATATATATATATAGAATATTAATGGCATTAGTATTCCAATTCAATTTCATTATACTTATAACAGATTTTTATTTAAGTTAGTTTACACAGACGTCTGAAGCAAACTCATACCTAATAAGAGACAAGAGTCTAGAAAGCTGAAGTCACAAATTAAAAACTAATTTGATCAAACTTTTAGTTACCATGTCATCTGAAAGTAATTTCACGAAGTGGATTTTAGTGAGTCGTTTTGGGAGGAAATGGTGAAAGTTTTTAGCATCATGCTCAGGTGCTGGATATGTCTTAAATTTTTCTTGTCAAAGTAATTGATTCTATAGATAGCTAATTTTGTTGTACGTAGTTTTATTATAACCTAGCACAGTGGCGAGTGTTTTTTTTTAAATTGACCAATCCACTTAAGAGATTAAGTGTTCAATTTCAAGACGCAATATTACTATTAAGTTCCGCTATTTTTGTCTCGATACATAAACATTCCCATGAGATGCATTGCAAAAGGCTGGAATCGCGAGCGAAAAAAGGCATATTATCTCTAACAGTATCATAATATTAAAAAAACAATTTAGTAGACAGTGTTAATTTTGACTATACATACAGATATGAGTTTGTTTCAGAGATTTTTAAGTACCTTTTCCTACATGGATTTTGCAAAAGACAGATACACTGAGGTCCGCATTGGCACTACTATCCTCATAGCGGTAAGTCAGAACCGTGTGCCTATTGAGAACCCCTGCAAAATGATAGTTAATGGATAGATTATATTAAGTGAGCTTTTGCGTGCGATTTTCCTTTAGTGCTTTATTTTGCTTAGAACTATTAATGGTCCCCGTTTTATATTATTACATAAGAGAGATCAAGCTATATTTTCCAACAAATTAATCCCATGGGAACTGTACATTTTTCGGGATAAAAAGAATTCTATGTGCTATTCCAGATTATATTCTATCTCTGTGCAAAATTGCATCCAGATCCGTTTACCCGTTCTGGTGTGATTGAGTAACAAACATCCAAATTCACATTTGTAATATTAATAAAATTAACAAGAAGTAAGGTAATTGCTAATCTTTATATATATAATTCTTCTGTGAGTGTGTATGTCACTGAACTTCTCTCAAACGACTGGACCGATTTTGATGAAATTTTTTGTGTGTGTTCAAGAGGATCTGGGAATGGTTTAGATTCACAATTTGAATAATAATTTTCATCAAAAAAATTATTAAAAAAAGTTTGAAATTTTCAAAATAAAGACGTGTAGACAGGACAACGTCTGTCGGGTCCGCTAGTACTGTTTAAAATAAAATGAAGCAATGTTTTTGGTCGAAATGGTTCCAATAAATCTCAATAAAAGATACATTTTAGCCAAGATCAATATAGCGCAAACAAATGAAAAAAATCCGTAGTTTTGATTTTTATCTCATTAAAAATATCCTAGTGGAAAATTTCAGAAACATTTTATCGGAACGTTATAAAATCTTATATTCGTTAGTTCTTTAAATATAAATATAAAATGAAGAATTTCATAAAATAATTCCCCATACAAACTTTCATCTCCATTTTCACCCCCTTCATGGATGATTTCCGGAATAAAAAGTATCTTATGTCCTTGCCAGGTTCTCAAACTATATTCTTACCAAATTTCATCCAAATCGGTTTAGTAGATCCAGAGATTACCCCCAACAACCTCACAAACTTTACCTCTTTATAATAGTGGTATAGATAAGATTATTACTAAGCACTAAATCTGTTACTTTAGTAATAGATTTAACTTTCTGACTAATTTCATAAAATACCTAAAAATTTCATAAAGAATTCGATTTAACTCTGAAAAAACTCCTTCTCAACTTGCAAACAGATGGAGCTTTGAAACTCAAAACTTTTGCACATAAACGATTACCCTCGAACAAAAAAATCCGATAATTGTCAATCTGTCAGATATTATTAACGGTGAAATACTGATAAGACAAAATTAAAATTCTTATATAATAGCTAACATTTTCCTACTTGAATATACTAAGAACTTAAACTCAGAACGACCGTATGTACAATCCACTTCTAGCTTTACAAGACAACTTTGTCTCCTTCTGGTGTTACAACAAAACAACCAGTGATCTGGACCGTAATCTGTATATATAATAAAATTGTAACTAAGTCGAATCTGGACATTAAATATTTTTTGGAAAATCTAATTGGAATAGACATTATTATCAATACAGAGTCCGAATCCATATTTTTTAGAAATTTTGTCTGTCTGTCTGCATGTCTGTCTGTCTGTTACCGCATCACGAGAAAACCACTGCACAGATTTTGATGAAATTTGGTATGATGATAGCTGGTTATCCGGGTCAACTTTTTACCGCGGGAAAATATCTCATTTCTGAGCAAAAATACAAAAACTGCATTGTAAGAGTATACTATTATGCTAAACCTAAGAATTTGGTTTTTGGTCATCTGAGATCTTTGGATCATAGCACGCGGGCGGAGCCGCGGGCTATGCTAGTACTGTATATATTTATCAAAACTAGTACCTCAAAAAACATGTTAACTTAGCTAATTCGAAAGAACCAAACAATAGTGTGATTCAACTAACACATAACTCCATCTATTTGTAATCAATGTAAACTATACAAATGATAACATAAATTATAAACCGTATAAGCATGAGTGAACTATAAAACTACTTGGTTTTTCTGCTAAGAAATTTTTATTGCCAGCTTCTCTAAGCACGTACTCGTCGGACCTACATCTGATCTTTAACTGGCTGATCTTTAACTGTATCAAACTGTCATCTACAAATGGCTAGTCTCAATGACAGAGGCCACCGGAACCCCTTTAGTCTTAACTGAATTGGACCAAATTAGTCATGAGGACAATATTATATGTCGATTTTGAGCGTGAAAAGAATTTTTGTACTATAGTTACTCCTGCAGTAGGTAGCAAGCCATGAAATAGGTAATAATCAAAATCTAAAAGTATTTATGTTATATATAATTTAAAAATGTTTAGTTGCAGAAGGACCATTCGACAATATTATAATTAAAGTTTTATCATTTTTCGTAATTTAGCGAAACAGCTGGAACTGGAGCACTTTCCTAATAACATAAATAGTTTAATTTCAATTGTACAATTAAATAAAAAAATATAGCTTGAGCTCCCATTTCTATGCGATCTTGTATTTAGTGGTCATGTTATATGGTTTAGACCTTATTAGAAATATACATATGTATATATAGGTTTGTAAAACTTCAAGCTAGTATTCAATAAATCAAATATAGTTAGAATTTACCAAACATATATAATATATTCAATTGAAAACTTAATAGTCTATAGGATTTGTTTCAAAATTATCCATTTTTTTTTCTGATTTTGAAAAATTTCTAATTATTCCAAAGTATCATTTAAAAAACTACACTGCAGTTTTATATAATATTACTAGCAGGTACTGTTCCTATGAATAATACTTGATGATAAGAGAAGAAATATGACATATATAATAGATAGACCTTTATAATATTATTAAAAAATGACTAAAATACGTGCATTAACTTAAAAAGCATGTTTCGATGGTCTTTAATGTTCAATGAAAATAAGTGGCAAGAGTTGAAAAGGATGATCAAAATCACTCCAATGATACATAATACTAAAGGCTGGTCCACACTATAGTGCCGCACTGTAGTGATCACAGTCCGTTCTCGGTCCGATATTTACTAGTCGTAAAGTATTTTTATACAAAAAACAATGCTGGTGCGTAATTCGACCAGAACTGTACTCTTACGGATAGTGATAGTGTGAATGCACTCATTATTATACAATATTTATTTATTTGTATAGATAAAAATACTTTACCAGACAGATATCGAAACGAGAACGAACTATGATCAGCACAATAGTGTGTATCGGGCCTAAAATGTCACTTACCAGCAACAACTAGTGATGTTCCGATGAAAGAGTCAATAGCAGTAGAGAATCTTGGGTTCAAGTCACTGAGACCTCTTGAGGCAATTCTGCAGATACAAGTCGCTATGCCTTCTACGACTGCTCCATACAAAACCGGCACCTTATAATTAAAAAAAAATAGTTTTACTAACTAAATATTAATGAAATCAATTATAAAACGAAATTAGAAATTAATTAAGACAACTCTGTAGTTTTTTTTTTTGCAATTCCTTTAATTTTCATACAAATATACATTTCAGGCCCTTAAAGGTTTTATCTGTTACAAAAGGTTTAATTGTTTTCGAGTTCGTGAAGATAGAAAATTATCTATAGTGACGGCAGAGATTCTGTGTAAATCCATCCAATATAGCTAGTAGGGGTAGTCCATTTCAGTAGGTCGTAGGTTTGTAGGTCGTAGGTGGCACCATCCATTTTAATTTCATCCAAGTAGTATTATTTTAATACACTATAATATATTCTAATAAAAAATATATACTCTAAATAAGTGACAAAAGCATTTAGAGTGGGTCGGGAGGACAGGCCCACCAAAGGGCCGGCGCGGCGCCCGCGACACGGAATTTTTAATGCCTGTTGTCACCGGCCCGCCGCGCCGTGCCGGTGGGTCGGGGCGGCGTGCTAGGCTAGATGTCATATAATAATCACTTTTATGAGACAGCTTTTTTATTTTATGTTTTTGACCACTATCACAGTATAAAGACAAATTAGATTGTAATCTATACATATAATAAAATTCGACCTGAATTAAATTTGTACATTAAATATTTGTTGGAAAATCTTATTGAAATAGTCATTATTATCGATACAGAGGCCTAATCTATAGTTTTCAGAATTTTTGTCTATATGTCTGTCTGTGAACGCATCACGAGAATTCTATTGGACAAATGTTGATGAAATTTGGTGTGATGATAGCTAGTTATCCGGGTCAATATATAGGATACACTTTACTCCGAGAAAATATGTCATCTCTAAGAATCTATACTAAACGTTAAAACATAATACTCTAAGTCCAAAGTCCAAAGTAGAGACCTGTTACACCACCAATGTAATCTGTACGGATTATATCATATAATTATATCAATAGATTATATCAATCTACAATGGCTATCGATAACGATGAATACTAAAAGATGTACCGAAATAGATGCGCCACTAAACATTATACTCGTATCACTCGGTCAAAAATATTATCGTCATAAATATCTGTGCACAGCTTTATAAAGGATATTTATACAATAAATGATCTTCATGAAGATGTGACGATCACACTATGCACACCTTGGGAATGATGCCTATAAGCTCGTCCAATGTTGGATACTAAATTTTGTTATTTTATATTAAAAAAAAACTAAAGTCCCACTTCTTTCGCCAATTCTTCTCAGGGCTGAGGAATTTTTCCTGAACTACGAGTATTGACAAACAAATCAATAAAAGTATTTTGAAATACCCATAGAATAAAAGAATTTTGTATTTGAATATAGGAAGAATTTATGTATGTACATATATATGTATAACAAGTAACTTATCCTCGCTTCACTCGAGTTCGTCCCTCATCAAACATCATTCCCGATACAAACTTTCATCCCCATTTTCGTCCCCTTAAAGAATGGTTTTCGGGATAAAAAGTATCCTATGTCCTTCCCAAGGTCTCAAACTATCTCCTTACCAAATTTCATCTAAATCGGTTCTGTAGATCCAGAGATTACCCCCTACAACGTCACAAACTCACGAATTCACAATTCATAAACTTTACCTCTTTAAAATATTAGTATAGAGTATGTATATACAAATTCAAATTATCAAAAGAGGTATATCTAATAAATTAATTGAATAGATTTAGTACCTGTTCATGTTTGTATTGTACCCTAACGGACTCTAGTGCATGCATCTACGTAAAATGCAGCCTTGTCTGGAAAGGGTATTGCTATAGCGCCCTTGTAAATAACCTGAGGTGTGTATTCCTCGGATTTGCATTTAGAGCGCGATGTTATTTAAGTTTAGATGTTTGTTACTCAATCAAGCCAGAACGGCTGAACGGATCTAGATGAAATTTGGCACAGAGATAGATTTTAGTCTGAAATAGCATATAGGCTACTTTATCCTGGAAAAATGTACGGTTCCCGTGGGATAGATTTGTTTTTCTCTTTCTAGAGGTGAACCCGAGCGAAGCGAGGTAATTAATAAAAATTGATATATATATTGCTAGTAATTAATAAAAATTGATATTTATGTAACAAATTATACCGACATTTTCCTTTCAAAATAAACATTATACACTCTTTTCGATAGGATTATTCTTGAAAGTTATGAGGGACCACCCTTACATTAAAAGATACACAAAAAACATATAACATACACATAAAGAAATATATATGTCCATTCCAATTTAGCAGTCTTCGAGTTTAAAGTAAAAAATTGGAAAAAAAATCAAGGAATTCAAAGAAGAAAAAAAATTAAAGCCGGTAAAAATAACTGAGAATAAAATATTTTCAACTTTTCCCACTGTTATAATTGGTGAAATTATAATTTAGTTAATTGATAACGTTTTTCCAACGATTAAATAATCAACCTTTATTATATAGATTGATAATTTAAACATATTATGAATGGCCATCGAAACGGTTTCACGAGCTTTTCAACGTATTGAAATGAACAATTATTTTATAAAGAACAAACTAATTTAATTAAAACGGAGTAAATTTTCACATTAAAATAACATTTTATAAACAAAATATTTTAATTAAAAATATCGTAATCCTCGGCTCGCGCAGTTTATTTATGTTTAATTACTACGTTCCTGAAGGTCGTGATACGATTATGGATTCTGTGGTCGTACCGTGATGTTAGATAACTTGACATTTCTCAAAAAATCTGTACATTTAATAAAATTGTAACTAAGCCGAATCTGTACATTAAATATTTTTTTGGAAAATCTTATTGAAATAAACATTGATATTCTCCTGACCGATTCCGGCCACGGCGGCCAATGTCATTGAGACTAGCCAACTGCGCAGGAGATATTATAGTGCACAAGTGTACGCGCAGACACAAGTGCACTCTCTATTCCTGTCACTCTCATACTCTGGTGGGACGACTGCTCGAGACGACCAGTGAGAGTTAAGGAGCAGGACCGACGGCTTTACGTGTTCTCCGAGGCACGAGGGTGAAACACCGCCAGCTTCCCAACTCCGGGCTATTATTGAGGCTTACTATACAGAAAAACTCAATAACTAAACTTGGCCCGACCCGGGACTCGAACCCAGGACCTCCGGGTGTGCAGCCGTACATGCTAGCCACTACGCCACCGAGGCAGTAGTAGCAGGCAGAGAAATAAACATTATTATCGATACAGAGGCCGAATCTATAGTTTTTAGAATTTTTGTCTGTCTGTCTCTCTGTCGGTCTGTTACCGCATCACAGAAAAACCACTGTAGGGATTTTGTTGAAATGAAGTATGATGATGGCTGATTATCCGGGTCAACATATACGATACATTTTACGCGGGAATATGTGTCATTTCTGAGAAAAAATACAAAACTACAATGTAAGAGTATACTAATATGTAAAACCTAAGAATTTGATTTTTGGTCATCTGAACGCGGGTGGAGCCGCGGGCAATGCTAGTACGCTATGAGTTTAAAAAAGTTTCATATATTAGCGTATTGAAACAAATAAAAAACAAACAATCTCTTTAATTTTATGATATTCATATATATTATAGTATTTTGAAGCTTTTTACACTGTACTAAGATGAGGCATATGGGATAGATTTTATCCTGTGTCCTGTGTGTGGGTTAGTAAATCGAAAAATCAAACGACACGTTTGGCTCACTTTGTAGTGACGCTACTTATTGAACCAGCGGTCGCGGATTCGAGTCCTGCTGGGGCCATTTATTTGTGTGATGAGCACGAATGTTTGTATACCAGTCATGGGTGTTTATATTTATAATATGCATAACACAAGCCTCGTAGCTTACCATGGAACTACATAGATAGTGCTGGGTATGAATGTCCCAACATATTAAAAAAAAACAACTTAAATTTTATTTAAGTAACACTAGCTTTGAACTTAGCTTTGAGCTTTATAGACAACGTTGCTAACGGACATTGAAAGACAAGAAAACATTTTTCACGCCAAGGAAAGTTGTAGACCAAAACAACTTCTAACGAATATTCATAGTATTTTTAAATAAAATCACCTGTAAATCCGCCGTGCAGTCTTCGAAAGCTTTATTTTTATGCGTTTCAGCAATCTCCAATACCCAGTACATTTGAACGTATTTGAAGACCAACAACCCTCCCGTCAACTCCGCCCAAGTTATCAATAAAGCCTTCCGTACGTCGCCTTTGCCTGTAAGTAGCATCAGTTAGTTTTAAAACTTTGTTTAAAAGCGTATTGGAAGTAAAGGAACAAAGAGCATATTCGTGTATCTATTTAACTTTGAATATCACAATTATTTTTAATTCTTAAGAAAATTAGAAACACCAGTATCTGATATTTTTGAGTTAAGAGTCTGTATATCTGAGTGTGCTATCGTAGCTCCAAAACGGTCTCAAAATGCTTCTTTTTTTAATATATTATGATACATATTAAGTTTACACCTTTCCGCGGCTTTTTATTAAGGCATAGCTAAGATAGAATGTAAAAAAGTTATTTTATTTATTTATTTTTATTTAAACACTTTATTGCACACAAAAATAAAAATGATACATACAAAAAAAATACATTTAAAGAAATGTGCAAAGGCGGCCTTATCACTAAAAGTGATCTCTTACAGGCAACCGCTAGAAGTAGGATACAAAAGTTAAAAAAAAATAACTATAATAATGATTTCAGTTATTTTTTTTTAATAACTTTCATACTTCGAAACTTAATTTTCATGTTCGTTTTTGACTGTAAATCGATATCTATGATTATTTTATTTTCGCAAGGTATCGATAGTAATTTCAATCAATGGTTTAATGGGAAGAGGCGCTGTCGAATAAATGGTGAATCAAATCGGTTGTAGAAGGTATTACTTAGTGGTTAAGTGTGTTGTATGAAGTTTCAAAAGTCTAGTTCAAGTTCTAGTGTTTTTCTTTTATTCTTGTTGCCCCATGGCATAATCGGCAATATTTTTTAAAGCTTACAATTGTAAGAGTATTATAACATGTCAACTAAGTATGACATAAAGTTATTAAAAAAAATTGAAACCATTAGTTATTTTTATTAATAACTTTTTTACATCCTATATTAGCCATGCCTTAATAATAATATGATATGATAATAATATGATATGATATTAATAGAAATAAAAAAAAATATTACCCAACAGTTTTGATCGATTTACAAAAAAGAGGTTTTATGTTCGTTTATATGTAGGTATTTCTTATTTATTACCAATATTATTATTTACCCAAATGTCTTACCTTCAATAACATCTTCGATGTGTGTATATGGACATGCCGTCGCATCCCCCCAGTTCAATGACCACCAAATCGTAAGCGCGAATAAAAATATAGCGTATGTTGCTACCCCAAAGTTATCTGCCACTGGAATTGAGAAAGTCAAATGTTAAGTACTAATTTTGCTTCTAGCTTCAAATGTAAACTAAATACGTAAATCTGTATAAATATAAATGTGAAAGTTTGTGAGTATGGATGTTTGTTACTCTTTCACACCAGAACTATTGAACGGATCTGGATGTAATTTAGCACAGAGATAGATTATAGTCTGGAATAACACACAGGCTACAGCTTTTTATCCCGGAAAAATGTACGGTTCTCGTAGGAAGGGTTTGTTTTTGTTTTCTATGTTCAATATATATGTAAGCCATCTTACAGCAAATATCACTTTACAGATAAAAGTACCTCAGAAACCGGGCGTTATAGTCGTCGAGCCGTTGCAGCATGAAAAGTAATAAATACATATATACCTACTCAGTTACTCGATTACTATATTTTTGAAATTTTTTTCATATTATCAGACTGGTGGTACTTTGATGAGTGCATTCAATTTCATACAAATGAGAAAACACTTGAGATTTATATATAGATTATTAAAGTAGTCCTTTTAGGGATCAAGTGTTCCAAACTAATTCAAAATTAACGTAAAACGATATATATAAATCACTTAAAATTCCTATAAGTTCCTTTCGTCGGATCTTCTCTGAAAGTAATTTCTTGGCGAAGTGGTGGCAGTCTTAAGAAGCTTATGCTAGTGTAGAACATTTGTTTTACTTTCAGTTATAATGAAAAGTCTTGGGTTCAATACTCTTACGAGACTAGCATGTCAATTTTGATAGGATACAGATTTTAAGCCGTTCGATTATGTCTAAAAATAAAGTAATGCCCACCATTTGATACGCACTTAAAAGTAATAAATTGTGTATTAAATCGCTTGAATGTGTTCCTAGGTGTTTTTTATATTCATAAAATTATAGTCAGGTAGCGCCACCTTTCAGCATTTTTTATTACTTACAGCAGTCTATGTGTTACTCCAGGTCATAGTTTATCTGTAAGTATAATAAATTTCACTCAAATCGGTCTTGACTCTTGACATTTCAGCGTGAAAGAGTAACAAACATACATACATACAAATTTTCGCACTTAATAATGTGATTTACTTACCAACGATAAGTTCAAAACAACATCCACATAGCTCAGCGGCAGCTATGGCTTCTTCTAGAAGCAGCCTCACAAAGGATTCCTTCACAATCTTCTGGACCAATCTTCTCGCACAGTGTGCCAGTAGAGATGTTAGCAGGATAAAGAGTGTAGATACCACTAATGGTGCAAACGTCACTCTGTTTACCTGAAAATAAAAAAATTTGATACATTTTAATAATCTATACTTTTATCGCAATATAAATAATTATTACTCGTGTTGAAATTTAGCCGATTTTAATATAAATCTAATTTAACATCTGCATTAGTTGATCGTCCATTTAAACAGAGAGGTTTTTATAGTTTTTCAAACTGACATAATTTTAAAAAAAAATCCAAACATCAATTTTCATCACAATCGGGTCAGTTATGATAACGAAGCAAAGCGAAAGATCGGTTTTTCATTTCATTTTTATAAATTTAAATACAATTTCTTAAATTTACTATATATTTAGGTCCTACTTATAATTCTTATATATTACACTATGAAAAATAATTATTGGTCTAACTGCATGTGTTGTTTTAAATAATTTTCAAGCAAAATTTGTTACAGGTAAGCTTTTATACTTCGAAAATGGGATGAACGATCTATTTTATTGGAACAAACATGCTCATACATTATTGCAAACATTCGAATAGCTCTTGCATAAAGTACGCTTCATATGACTTGAATATAAATCATGATCATATTTGATGTATTTATAAGTCCTAACTTAGTTTGTATACTTAATGTGCTTTTGTAAGCACATTGAGTTCTTGTACAGATACTAGCTTTCGCCAAGTTCTTTACTTGGTAAATATTATCTATATAAATAAAAATGAATAGCTAAATGTGTTGCTAAGCGCAAAAATTAAGAACCACTGGACTAATTCGGCTATTTTTTTTTATTTAAATATTCGCTAAAGTCCGAGGAAGTTTCTTAAGAAGAAAAAAATTCGAAAAAATGCCCGGAAAATGTAAAAACATCATTTTTCTAATCGAGCCTGCTACTGGGTCACTAAATTTGACAGAACGAGGTCTGTCGGGGCAGCTAGTTTTATATAGATTTCTTAGAATCACTTTTACATAATAATTGAAAGTCATACTTATTTATATACATACGTATAATCTTACTACTATATAAATGTGAAAGTTGAGATGGACAGATGTTTGTTACTCAAATACGCCAAAACGACTGAACGGATCTGGATGAAATTTGGCACAGAGATAGATTATAGTCTAGAATACTTTTTATCCCGGAAAAATATACGGTTCCCGTGTGATAGATTCGTTTTTGTTCGCTTTATCCCTTCCGGTTAGGTTATGTGGTTCTTTTTGTTTATCCCATAATAAAAATAACGGACATTTATAAAGAGCTTACAATCGCTGACTTGGTTTTATTTGAACATACGAGTTCATTATATGATTAATACTGTTTTTTTTTGTGTTTTAAAAACCTATTCTATAATCATCAAAATTAATTTAGCAAGTTTTCATAATTAGAGGGAATTCGAATTTATGGACAGACGGACAATCAGACACACAAAACCGCGGATATAAACTAGTAATAACATTAAAGGAGATAATTATTATAATTATTCAGACAGCAGGTAGCAGGTAAGATTGTTTACGTAAGCTTAACGAGATAATAAGCGCATGTGCTGAGATGCAAGTTTCAAACTGAAAGTCTACTAACTAGAATACGTCGTGCAGTTTCAGCGAAGTTTCGAAGAACAACACTTTTCTTTGTTTTCCCATAATGCTTATGGTACATTATATTTTTATGTAGAAAGTTTATTGGGTAATAAGTTTGATGTTTCATAACTAGCGGCTTACTTATTTATCTTTTGGATTTATAATATTACTAGCAGAACTCGCGGCTTTGCTTGCGCTAATCCTACAAAAAAATCTCTAAAAAGATAGTTTCATTCACACTTTCATCCCCTATTTTACATCCTTATAGGATGAATTTTGAAAAATGCTAAAACACGTATTTATTTAATTTTATTGAAAGCATTAATACCAAGTTTCAAGTAATTCTGATCATAAATCTTTTTTTGGATTGTATTATAAGTTGTATTCCCATGGGAATTAGATAATCTCTCGCGGTAACAAGTAGCTTATGTCACTCTCTAGCTCTCTAACTATCTCCATACAAAAAATCACGCCAATCCGTCAGTCCGTTTCAACGTGAAAGACGGACGAACAAAAAACACACTTTCACATTTATAATATTAGTTTATTTAGTATGGATATGCGCCATATTTTTACAATTACTAACGCTAGGTTATGTATTATTACAATTAAATTTCAACGACTTCCAAAGAAGGAGGTTCTCAATTCGGTTGTATTTTTTTTATGTTTGTTACCTCAGAAATCCACTTATAAACCGATTTGGAAAATTCTTTTTTGTTTGAAAGTATATATATAGATAGTTCCCGTTCGGTCCCATTTAAAGAAGAAAAAATACCCCTAATGAGATATGAATATTTAATAGGTAAATATAACAAGGTATGAACTTTAATTATAGTTAAAATATCAATCAATCAATTTGTATTGCATTTATTGAAATAGCATTTGCTTTACATTGATTGGCACCGACTTCGTTTTGTTTACATACAAACAAACATACAAATAGTCCGATATTTAAAAAAAATGACTTTTAAAATAAACAACTATTTACTTCAAGTAATAATATAAAATATAAGGCTAAAGTGGAAAGTTATCATTCAGAGTCCAGTTCTATACAGCGCATTCGCCACAGTGCCAACTTGTCAAATTGAGTTTTAGTCTGAAAATGTTTACACACCCGTTCAACGGCTGACGGATACGGTGTGAAAAATACGCGGTTAAAATTGGTTCAAAGTTCAAGGTTTAAGACTGAAATTTCAATAGTATTAGTTAAATTTGTCGCTTAATTATAATGCTTTTATAATGATACTTTCTTAGATTTACGCGAATATTTGACATTTTAAATAAAACTATCTTTTCGGATTATTTCGTGGATTTATTTTGATTTGTGGTTCCCGACGTTTCGAATGCTTTACAGCAATCATTGTCATGGGAGAGACTAAGGTTATAGACGTCTCAAACACATACTTGTTACAGACAGTGCCTACCCACTATTTTACAAAAGTGATTTCAAAAATTCAAAAATGACAATATAGTACCTTACAATATTTGTTGATTTTAATTTCTAAACATTTTAATTTTTTTAATAAATGTTATAATTAAATATACCAATATTATTTATTTAATTTTTGCTGCTTGTATTATAAATATTACAATTTTTAAAAAACACTTTATTATTTACTAATATTATTTAGTGTTGCTATTATTATATGTATAACCATAAATAATATTAAAAATTAAAAAAAAATATATCTTAATTATTTTTCTAAGCAATATTATTGTTTTATATATAATTTAAAAGAAGTTAAAATATTAATTTAGATTGCTATTATTTAAAGTTAAAATAGTGAGCAACACTATTGCTACATTTATAAAAAAAATGTTTATAAAGCTTCTATAATGAGTTAGTCAGTCAGTCAGTCAGAGTAGTTAAGATGATGGAGACGATGTGTTCCATTACATACATATATTGTAGTATTTTAACATAAAGGGCAAACACATAACTAACAGAGAAAAACTTTAGAAATGCCTGAACTTTTCCACTTTGTTCCTACATAACAACGAAAAAACGTATCCAAATATTTTTTCATACACCACATATTCCTCTATAATTGAATTTTTACCTTAAACTATTTACATATATGAAAAATAAAAAATACGTGAAATAAATATAAAAGGTATATTTTTTGCGCCCGTATTCTCTCATCGTTCCCAATAGACGGCTCTTTGAATTGGTAGCGAGTACACCGCAGTACATACATGAGATACGAGATAGTTTAAAGTGAAATATCAAATACTTAGTGATTTCAAAGATCTAAAATTTTAGATAAGGTATAATTTTAATGTTAAATTACGTTTTTAGACCAATGCCTTCGAATATCTAACTTCTCATGGTTAAGCTCGAGACGTATTTGGGAGGCGTCCAACCCAGGTGGACCTCCGGAGGTGTATTTTGCGGGCTACTCCTAGTACTTCTTTAATAGAAAAGTGGACCTTAAGAGCTGGTTCTTGTGAAGGATGGGAGCGGTGCGTCTCGGTAAGCCAGCCTTTAGAGCGTCGCTGTGGGTTTTAATAAGACTAATTCTCACAGTGCCTTGCCCAATACCCAGCAGGGCTGGTCCTAGAATGGATTTTCCCAACAATATAAAAAAAGGTTAACTGACCTGAAGGTCTAGCAAACGAGGAACTTTTTTATTTTTCTAATGGAAGAGTATACTTAAAACACACCTCAGATGACGCCACTATAATACGTCGTAAATAAGAATAAAAATCTGTGTTGGAAACTTAGTTTCTGCAAAATATGATATAAATCGATTAGCGTAAAAAGCACTAGACATATTCACCCATCAAAACCTCCATAACTCGGTTAATTTTGACCGGAGGAAAAAAAGTCATGGCACTTTCTTATGGAAAATTTTAATCTCTACACATTTTTATTGAAACTTTTTTGTCAAATTTTTACCGTTTTCGAGTAATTGCGAAAAAACATTTTTGACAAAATTTTTTCAACCCTCGCCGGGGGTTGCAGACACGAAGAACCTTACAGATTGTTTGTGTATCATTAAAACTACATTATATCAAAAATGCAAAGTTGAGAGAAAATTTTTGATTTCAGACCTTATTTGACTGCATTACCGGTTCTTCACGCTTTTGTAAAAGGTGGGACTATTCGCATTTGAACGGTTGACAAAAAATAGAGAAATAAGTGGCCGAAACCATGGAAGTAATAAATAGGAACATAGCGTTTTATATATATTTTTTTAATTTTATTAGATACTGAAATAACTAAACTATATATAAATAGGCCAAGGCAAAAAAATCAGTACCTTATTCTCCTCTGTTTGTCAATTGTTTTTTTTTCTTTAGTAGCTATTGACAAGCTTTATTATTATGTTATCAATAAAAAAAATGGAAACAGTTTTTTTTTAATATACTATGTAGATAGGTAATGTTTATCTCAAATTTTTTTTGTGATGTTTTCAATAATGTTTATGGTCAAATTTTGTCCATCTATGTATAAATAGCTTTCAATACAA